TTTTCAAGTATAGTAATGCTTCAAGAATTTATTTACTGAATTTAACAATTATCTTCAAATTATCTTAATTTATTTAGTTATAAATTAGATGATTAATAGGTAACAATTGTTCTCCATTTGGAAATTTGCAATGTTCCTCAACTGCTCTGCTAAAGGAGGTCGCTAAAGGTCTTGAAGCTTCTGGACAGAAATTTTTTTTTTTGATTGTAAGAAAGGAAGCAAAATCGACAAGGAAGACAAAAATGAGTAGTAGCCATAAGGATTTTAGAAGAGGGATTAATAATAAGAAGAAGTTGTTAGATGAATTAAGATTGAACCCAACTTGAGAAGACTAAATAAAATCACCTAATATAGTAGTATTGCTTAAGTTTTGAAAAAAGATTGAATCAAATAATTTAAAAGTTGTATGAAAAGGGAGACTAATTATCAAAATCACATAAAAGGAACTTTTGAATATAATGATCATGTGCATCTCTTATTAAGATAAGTGCTAAATATATGTAAAATATGTAAAATATAAGTGCTAAATTTATTCTATAATCTTCAATGATAGTGAAAATCTTAAAACATGTAAAGAACACCTTGGCCTTGGGATTTGCTAGGGGAGATGATGAGCTTATTCCGATGTTGAAAATGTAAATAATGGAAAGCGAAAGGGTAGAAAGAGTAAAAGCACGAGACACCACAGCACAACATAGACAAATATAGATCAGGCCTCAACCCCCTTTCGTAAGGATAGATCAGCACAACATCTTACATATCCTTTGAAAACAAAGCTCCTTTCATCCCACATGGTTCTATGTTTCCCACCATCAGATGCATGGTTCCTTAACATGCTATAAAACAAATTTAAGATTGCAGCAAGTACCAAAGACTATGTAAAAGGTTTGTAGCCATTTCTAGAAACCAAGAAACATTTGGTTTTAAAAAAGAAAAACCTAGAAAATCTTGACTGATCATAAAGAGAGATTATCAAAAGATAATTTCTAGAAGAAAATTAATTAAAAAAAGAAATGAAAAAACTAAATTACATAACACTATAAAAAAAAAGAGGAAAACTTGAGTGAGATTATAATTGGAAAAAGAAAAAAAGAGAGGAACATTGGAAGAAGAAAAAGAGTTTAGTTACCATTGAAGAGAAAGCTGAGGAAAATTTGAGCAGAGTTATTTCCAAATGATTTGCGGTGACAACTCTTGGCTGATCATAACAAGAGAATATTCCAAAAGATTAGAAACAAATAAAGTTAAGAAAAAAAGATAAAGCAATACCAAACATACCATGTAATTGTTGATTGAATGCAAATTACATAATCATAGACTCATGAACTGACCAAGAAACATATATATGGCACTGTCATGGAAATCTTGACTTATCATAACCACTAGAAGAAAATTGATTGGAAATTGATTGGAAAAACAAATTAAGAATGTAGCAAGCAAAACCAAAGAAAAGAAAAATAAACTTCTTGATTTCACATGGAACTCTGAAATAAAACAACAACAGCAAAACTTTACTTGCATTATAATAAGAAAAGGAGAAAAATTTTCTTTAAAATGAGATCATTTTTATTGCCGTGATGAGTAAAGGAAAATCGGAAGAACAAAAACAGTAGTTACTTGTTGTTGAAGAGAAATTAATATATTAGGGAAATAATCTATTTATAGTGTTGTGAAATTGGCTGCTTTAAGGCAGTGGACTTGCAAAATATCAAGATTACATAGGCATAGGAAAAGGAGGGCATGGAAGCTGTCGACCCTACTTGCTTTGGTCCATTTAATTCTTTATTTTATTTATATTTATTTTTTAAGTATTAAAGATATATTTAAACCTACCAAACTTTAAAGCTCTTTCATCAATTGGATATTGACACATTTATAAATTCATAGACTGCATAACTAAGTATAATAATATTTAAAAAATATTATTCAAACAAATATGTTAAATTAATGATTCTAAATGGGTTATGAATTATTTAAGTCATCTGAATTATTCCTCATAAGGCTAATCAAGATTATTGCTGATAATCTTTTATTATATATATATATGTATGTATATACATGGAGTTTACAAAATTTTTCTTTTTGGAACGTAGAATGTTTCTTGTGTCTTTGTCAAATACATGATTTAGCTAAACTCAACGTATAGGAACAAGGAGTCTTACTCTTCAAGAAGCCTTCACCAACATATAGAACTTTTAAATATACTTATGAACATCTAATACCTGTTGTTACAATACTACATTAACCTACTATATTACATTTTAGTAATTCTTACACAAACTTAGACTGATCGATTTTTGTAATGTTTTTTGTCATTGCATTTTGGTTTGTCTTCTCATTCTAGTTGTGATCATTGTATTACATGTTGTGATTGCAGTCAAAGCAATTAGAAAGATTGATGACATTCATTGCCAAAAATTCAAGCTTCAACAATGCAAATGTTTTCGTCTGTAATACTCTATTGGTAAATTCTGATTGATTATCAACGAACTTTTGATCGACAACATCTATGCAATTCTATAATAAAACACTAAAAAAGGCCAATTTGTTAGCACTTGATCTGTGATTATTTGCTGTGCAATAAAAGTTATTGGCTTGAAGACTACTGACGCTCAACATCAGTCAGTATAGAAGGTGCCGATAAAAGTACTAACAAAAAATCAAAATGGAATTCTCGTCAGAAATGGCTACTTTGAAACATCAGCAATGCATCGACAGAATTTCCAAAACTAGTGACGAAATTTTTTTCGATCAAGAAGGTGAATTGAAACATCAATTATGCTTGCTGATTGAATTCTTCATGTTTACTTCCATTGGTAAATGGAAAAAAATAATTAGGGATAGAAACATTGAAACTAAAATGCCAATGAACACTCCATCGGTCAGGAATGCTAAACTTAAAGGTTAATCAAAGGTCAATCATGCTTGTCAATGGAAACACATATTGCAATTTTTGTCAATAAATGGAAACTAAAACTTCTAGGGTCAAAAAATAACAATG